AAATTACTTTTTCCCCTGCTCCTTTCTTGTTTTCCCCAGGACCATGTGCTGCTTCAGGAGATGGTAAATTCTGCTGCTGCTCTTATAATGGCATTAATAAAGGACAGAAATCCAGAGCTGACTGGGCAGCTGTTGGTAGCATAAGACCATAAATAATATGTAGCTTTTGGAAATGTTTCATCATCCATTCACCAAAGGTCTTTAATAATTTTACTCTCTGATGAAAACTCTGGATTTATTAAGTTTACTATTAATCTCTTTTAACAACATATTTTTGATACTTAAAATACAAGTCTGATACTATGTATAGAGTGTAACATTAAATACAAATAATGCTGTGATACACTGGGTGCATACTGTGAGGAGTGGTACTGAAATGTTTCTGTGCAGTACTGATCATTTAAAAAGGTGCACAAAGGACACCAAAGCCTTCAATCTTCATGCAGAATTGTCTTCAACCATGCATGTGTATTGTACTCTAGGACTGCATGAATGAAATGTGATTTAAGATAAAATAATCCTAAAGAACAGCTCTTGTTCTTTGTATGAAATTATTTACAAGTTGATGCTATACCTATTAGTGAATGTAGAGCTTATTATACAGCACAGCCTTCCCGACAGCAACAGAGTGGCACATTGGAAGAAGTGTTTGAAGGGTCCAGTTCCTGTCCTCGTGTAATGAAGGTAACCTTGAAGCAAAGAAAAGACGTGCATGGGGCAATGAGGTGTGAGCCCCAATTTTCCAGAGGTGATGTGCTCTGCCTGCAGTGCTCCTTAGTGCTACGTTTCACCTAGTACCTATGTGCCATCATTTCAAGTAGCTCCAACACCTCCTCTGAGCACTATATGACACAAACTTGGTGTTTGCACACAGGTATGGGTGTGTATGTACACATGCTTAAAGGAAGAAGACTGAAAAAAATTTTTCACAACCCAGTCTGTAAGTATTGGAGAAACAGGAAGATTGTGTTGCCTCATTTACAAGAATACAGTTTGCATCTCTTGCTGGTTAGTATATGGCTGTATTAAATATTAGTGAAGAGAACTGGGTGTCATGGGTTCAAATATATGTTACATTGATATTCAAGTGTGGGAAGATGGTACAGGAAGGTAAAATCGTGAATGTTTATTAGGTGGAGTATCTCCAGGTATCGCAGCCACTAAGAGCAATACAAGAAGAGGAGAGTCCCTGAAAACACCTGTCCCTTCCTCTACACCAGATCCTGGAATTCCAGATTTCCTTCAGCTTATGAAGAGGTTAGGTTAATGTCTTAGATACCTACTGTGATTGGAATAAAGTCATAGAGGCATATCTCTACCTGAAGCGTCCAGTGAGCCTCGCAGTCAGCCTGTCCTGAGTGAGAGCACTGTTGCTTCAGCAAGTTTTCCTCTAAAGCCAGCATTCCTCCCCTTACTCCCACCATGTTCCACTTCTGGTGCTCAGACAAAACTTAGGATGGCATGATCTGGGCTTGATCCCCTTCCTCTTTCACTTTTCCTGACTATCTATATCTCTCTTTTAAATCCCTTTTAGAAGCTGATGTTGATCTCAAAGTTCCTTCATTACATGACAAAGAGTTTTTAGTTGTTCTATATCCAAAGCATCCATTTTCTTCCACACAGAAGTCATTGTAAGACAAAGTTCTCATGCACCATCTGCTTTCTTCTTTGCTTCTCTCTTCTCTCTACTTTGATTAATAATTTGTCCTTTTCTGACATTGCACCACATAAGCATTCATATGAGCTCTGTGTACGGCTATACAACAGGCATATTTTATTCATATATATGTATTTATGACTGTTCATATGCAGAGTACACAAATAAACGAGGGATTAAAGAATTACTACTGACATTCATAATTTAACAGGGCAGCTTTCACAAATAAGTTTTCTGAATTTCCTTTTACATTAATGAATGTGTTGAAGAATTTGTCTCACAGGCTTTTAAAAGACAGGATGAAAGATGTTTCTTTGACTGCATTTTCTGACTCTTCTTCCCTTGAAGACTGAAATACAATCCATGATGTGTTTTCCCCACATAGTAATAAGCAAGTGAGTTTAGAAAATCCTTTATGTTTTCCATCCACTCTAATTTACACATTGTGATACTGCCTTAGCATTGGATTGTGTGTAACTTATCATTTGCTTAAGCGGAACCTTTACCTCATTCTCTTAAAAGGATATTACTGCAATGAACAGCTATAATGAAAAATTATATTGTGGTTGTTTATGGATTTATTTTTAAAGGACAGCAGGCAACACCGAACAAAAAGTAAGTTTCAAGTCATCAAACATTCTTAGTACTAATCTTGAATGGAAGATTGTAAGCTTTATTAAGGTATTGTTACTGATTGAATGATGGATTTTTTTTATCTTTTACAATCTTTTAAAATAATCTAAAAACACTGGAAAATCTGTTTTGCTGGAAGCAAGTACACCAAAACCAGAGCTCCTAAAACAGATCACGAAATACTAGAATTGCAGTTAAAAAAAAAAAAATACACAAAACAAAACCTAACTAGAAACTTCTCTGTGATTAATGCTATTGTGTATCCAAACCAAATTTAAATGGTCTTTTGGATGATTGTTAATACTTACAATGGGTATAAAGATATAAAATGAAATTAAGAAACTGGTTGATTGTTTTTCGTCTCTGCATAGCTTCTCACAAATAGCAGTATACATGAGAAACTTGGCAGCCTTTTGTACACACATGCTGTTTTGAATTATCTAGTGAATCAGTCACCACCCATATTGCTTTGAACATTTGGACAGAGATAACTCAGAGTAAATAACAGCTCAGACTCTGCCAGCCTTGCTTACCTTACTCCTCAAGCACTCTAATTAGTATTCCTTTGGTAGTGTTAATCAGAAAAGAGAATTCGGAATATGGCCCTAGAAATGCTTTTCACAACTACAAAGTTGAGCGAATTAGATTTATATGTTGAAACAAAACCACTTCATGCAAAATCTGGAAGTTAAATCACTGCATTTGTCTTAGATCAGTTGGCAGAACAATTTTTAGGTGAAATATTTTTTTCTTTAGCTTTCCAGTCTATCTTGAAAAAGGTGGTTTTATGGTCCTCTAAAAAAAAAGGCAGAAAGAATGAAAAGGATAGGAGGTGGTGGAATTAAAAAGAAAAAATCCAAAACCAACCCAAAAAGCGAAGAGAAACAAAGTGAGGTGTGACCCTGCAGTAATCAGTGGCATAGCTCTAGTTGACTTTTAAGATACCACAATGAAGCTTTTAGCTCCCTTTGGTGATTAATGTAGGCTGCAGAACAAATGTGCATCTAGATGCCTTAAAGATTTTGGTGGATTCAGATTTGTATTTTGATATGACACCTGAGCCTCATCATCTCCGCAGTGCTGTTCTAGGTGCCATCCAAACAGAAGCTCCCAATGACACGTAAAGTTCCCAATTACTGCTTGGTACTTCCTGAAGGTACAGCAACTTCTCCCGTCAGTCCACCAGAGAAAAGTCATAGCTTGCTCTGTTCTCCCTGTCTTGGACACTTACTACTGGTTACTGTTTTCTATTCAGGTTTTATTTCTGAAGAAAAGCATGCTTATTTCCAGATACACAAAAGCATTAATTATCTCCTATCTCCCTCCTCTGCATCCATAGCTTAGAACTGAAAAAATGCTAGGTGATTTTATCAAATATCCATCAAGATGTGCAGAAAATGTGTATTTCCCTCTTTTTCTGTTATGGGGGGTTTCAGGGTCCAGGAATAAGCTCATCTTAACAGTGATCCTGCAGGAGCCAGAATCCTGGATAAGAGCTACCTTTGACCTGGCTCAGTGTGACTGCTCTGATGACTGGGGCATACAAATGCCTGGTAGTTGCAAAAACTGTGTGTAAGGAAGTTAATTAAGCCCTTCAGAGTATTAGTAGTGCCCTGACCTTTATGTTTTTAAAGATTACTGTTTATTCGCTCTGGTCCATATGGCAGATGCACTAGTATTATTCCTGTGTGACTGTGGAAAAAAAGTATTTATTTATTAAGTTCATTAATTCAAATGTGTAGTTTACTAGATGGTAGATTTTTCTCTTTGTGTAGGTAGTGAAAGAATGGTATTCAAAGGTATTTCCTCTTGCTTGTTTCAAAGATCACTTATTAAAACCACAACTAATTCTCACTGAAACAGGGAGAGCTGTTAAGACTTGTAAAATGAATAATATATTTAAGGGTTCCCACTTGGAAAATTGGCTATGAAAGACATATATGTGATATATCTTATCTATATCTTATAAAAATACATAATTGTGAAATAAAAAGTTCAATGCTAACTTCATTATTTAAAGCCAGTCTTGAAGAGCTGAATTCTGAGAAACTAAGAACCTGCTTTAATAATTCCTGCCCAACTCAACTCATCCAATCTTTTGCACCTAGTTTCAAATAATTTGTAATGGCAGCTAGTTGGATGACTAATGCCCTGCTGCTCTGGGTGCCGCCAGTACGATAGCAAGGCAAAGTATCAACATGGGTTCAAGTTTTTCGGCCCCCAGTGCCTGCCCTTTCAACTTCAGACTGGTAAGTTTTTATGATGTCTGTCTCACTCAGCCCATTCCTCAGCCCTGGTATTTACCACAACTCACTTTGTCTTATACTCTTGGCAAGCACCAAAGGAAAGAAGCAGACACTGACACTCCATTTTTCCCAGTGTAAGTTGATTTTGATTGACAGGGCTGTAAAGCACTTGTCAAATATACATTTTCCTTGGTTATTTCTTCCAGGAATACTCAATTAATTTTGAAATCTGAAAAGCACAATTTCAGGACCTGTGCTGAGGAAACAGTCCTGACTGTGAAAATACATTTATTTTAGAATATGCATGGCTTGCATACACCAACCTGAGGAGCAAAGAGGCCATTTATTAATATATTTATATTAATAATATGCTATATTAATATAATTAGTATAATTAATATACTTAATATAATACATGAATAATATATCAATATATTCCCAGGCTAATTTAGGTATACTTTTCACTCTAGATTGAAACAGATAATGTCCTTCACCCTGCACATATTCCTCAGAAACTGAAAGTCTAATCCAGTTAAAATGCTGCAACACTGAATTATAACCCAGTTACAAAAATAAATGAGAATGTAAGACACTGGGACAAGCAAAAA